ATGATTAATGCTATTAAGCATTGTGCTCTGTTAATGCGTCAAAGAGCGCACGAACCACGGCTCTCAATTTCGCCGTCTCTAACACTGAGAGTTTAATTTATTCGAAGCCCATTTGTCAAGGTGTCTGATTGTGGAATTAAGGTGTAGTCGTTGAGATTGGCGTGGCAGCTAGTTGAGTTGGGTGTATGCTAGGTGATATCGCTAAACAATCGATCGTCTTGAGCCAACAGTCCTCACAGATAAACACACTCGCCACCCCCTTCGCCAAAGGTACTGGTCGAAGCAACACCGTAGTCATTGATTACCTGGTTAGCATAACGATAAGTCGGACATTGGTGTCCCAGACCGCCTGCCAGAAAAGTCCGACAGTGCATTCTTTGGGTGCCTGCGCGGCGATGTAGGTGTCTGGCTGGCGGCCGTGCGCAGGCCCAATGGCTAGGTGCGGTGGTTGAGTGGGAATGCAGCTGGCGTTCACGTAGTCCGACACCGCGGTCAGGGCTACATCGTCGTTTTTGGACGCTTCTGAGTCCTCAACACCGAAATCCGACAGCGCGCAGGCGTTCGACAGTTTCAGGCGGTTTTGATCAACTGTAGGGCATAAACAATAGGCATGTTACGTAGGTAGTTCACTGAGACTAACTAATTTACAAGTGTGAATGCATTACTTAGGCGTAAACAAACGTGTCCAGTGAGATGACGTGTCAAAGGCATTGTAGTTTCATCGGACGAATCGCCAGAAGCCTTACTAAACAGTATTTCGTTTAACCAATGGTTAGTGTGAATTAGACATTTGCCGCCAAAAACTAAGTGTGTACAGTAGATTGGGGTGTAAATGTGGTTTTGAGATATCAGTGAAAATCGTTGGTTCTTAAAAGAGGAAATTTTTTCGAGATCCTCTTCCACAAAATCAGAGTCGATTCAGTTACACCTATGCATTTTTCTTAGCTGAGTCAACAAATTCTGATGGCCGCTGACGCAGTGCAGATTTTGTGCTATCAGCCTCAAACTACTTCTGTCAGAACGACTTAATCTTGATAAGAAAAAGTTGACTTCACTACTGGTCTTCGAATTGGCTTTTGCAAACCTAAAATTATTTCAATATCACACACAAGCAAAAAATTGGGCTGAATTAAGCTGAATTTGATGACTCGATTAAAAATAAGAGCTCAACGATTGTCTCAGTCAATCGATTTGTTATTACTATAAGACCGCGGTTGTAAAGGCTGTGTTGATACTGTTCTAAGTCATCACCTTCGATGGGAAAGCTTGACATCGATATCTGAACAAGCATCGCTGCGTAAAGAGCATTCAAGATAATCGATTTAATCAGTGATCATTCATACTGCCAATGGTTACTCGCTAATCGCCACAGTCAGTTATGGCGGCTGTTGTAAGAAAATTATTTGGAACAACACAACTCACACGGGATGATGTTGCGATAGCGATTCCTCAGACGATTCTCGGGGTGTGAGCCTACCTCCATCGTGAGGCACATTTCATCCTGCTGGACGGCAGCGTGCTTTTGCAGAGTCTAAATGTCAACAGCCGTAAGCATTCTCGATCAAATGAAATATTACTTTTGGGTTTCAGTAGCATATAAATTCAGGGAGATTGGGGAACAAAGTGCAGTACACTATTCTCCGTCAGAGCATGCGTAAAATTTACAAGCTTAAAAAAATAACTTTAGATTTTCTTGGGCTTGCCACTTCGTAAATCTGGAGAACATTCTCCGAGGTGAATTCCAGACAACAGCAAGTCTGCTGGAAGGGTCTACGTGGTACATGGATATGAAAATTAGGATCCGATGGACTTTCGGAAGTCGATTGGGTAAACGTCATTGTATTTTTTCCCGGAAGCTCGTTGCAACGCACCATCAGATTATGGGCCAGAAAGTATGGTATTCCGATTTGGCTTACAGTAATATAAAGAACAGAAGCATGAAATCGGTAAAAATTAAAATAGGGTGTTAAGATTCCTTCATCTTTTACTAACGCTATCGTACATCAGTTAAAATAGTGGAAGGTTATTCCTACAAAGGCATACCTTGAATTCATTGCGTAAAACTGTGTAGCCATCCTCCGCAAAGGCGTTAACTGTTTCCACAAACTCTGATAGCTTTAATGGAGTCGGAATCTTTGGAAGAAACCTGAAATGGACAAGGAATAAAACATCGTAGAGTTCAGCGTTTGAAATGCTTGATGCAGCAGACAAATAAGCTACATGTAAGCTGGACGCTGCCAAAGAGACATACGGGCGCACAAACGAGCTTAAAATAGCCCCATCTGAATTCCAGTCAGTGAGTGAAACTCAACTGACGTGGTGGGTGCAGTTGAAGCGAGATTAACGCATGGACTGTGGATGATCGAAAAAATCGATAATTTGATGTCACGTGCGCGCGCGCGTGTGGAGCCGGTTGGCGCGCATGCGACCTACAAGTGTTGCTCCACTAGGGCAATCGAAATCGAAACACTCACTCAGATTTAAAAATTAAAGACAAACAAAAACTTTGGAGAAAAGCAGTCTTTTGCGGTATTGTTGATTTCCAGAATAGGGCGTCACGACGAGCAAAACAAAACAAACTCTTGCCACTTACATAGGGAGTCGTTTCTGGATAATGTTTGTTGAATCGTCGTTATTCTCGATTTGGTCCTCATCTGCCATGCTCCTAGGAAAACCAAATATCGAAAATGTAGGTTGTGCACTTCTTGGGTTGGCAAAAATAGAAGTGTCTGTCGTGGCTAATTACGACTTTAGACAGCAACTAATGTCCAAATATCTCAAGTTTGCCAGACTCCCGACTAGTACACTTAAGCGAGTCAATTTCAGGAGTGCTAATAAAGCCACCACAATCAACCAAGACGTAACTATCACTCACGAATATTTGGCACCTAAGCTTGGTGCTGGCATATTCACTGACACGATAGCATGTTCGCGTTTGTTTGACGACATCCGTGTCATTGACGTAGCATGTCTTGAAGGTGAATACGAAATCGTCTTGATTTAATATAGTTAGATCAAAAGCAGAGCAGAAACTAAACGTCTGATAAACAAAGCACTTCAAAGATGTGTGATTGTAAGAGTGTAATTAGCTGGAACACTCTTGTTACCATAAATGCCATTCATAAAGGGTCACGGCCTAGCTTATTAGAATTTTAGAAATCTGGCAGGATCTGCTAATGAGATTCCCGTTTGATTGGCTTATTTTTCCTTAATGTAAAATTGTTGGAAACCTAATCGGTTCAGATATTTAACTTGGCGTTATGTGGTCAACTTACATGTACTGGTCTTTCACTATGACCCGCCGACGCCGGTTTCTTACAATAAGGAGGGTTGCTAACACGATGGCCAGCACTACAAATAGAACACCGAATATCGTCCCAGCTTTGATCCCGGCGTTGGAGAGAATAACTGAAAAGGTGAGTAAAGCCAAAAGGCACAGCATGAAAATGTCTGCATTCTTAAGATGTTAATACTTTTAGTAAATACTGCCTACTCTTTTAAATACGCTCCAACTAATACTTATTTGCTGATTTTAATTTCGGAGTGAAATAATCCGTGAAAAATGAATCACTAAACGAAATATTTCTTCTGGGCACAATTTACCAAAGGAATTCGATCAGTGAATACTGTGCAAAGTTCAATTGGTCTATACTTTAGTCTCATTAACGAGGTGCCGAATTGAAAAGAGAATCTGCCTCTTTGGGTCGGCTAGTGAATTCCAAGCAGAACACCAATTCTCACCACCTAAAGTTAGCGTACAGAGCCCAAAGGCTGGGTGTGTGATGGTGAGAGGTGTGTGGCAAAGCCAAACACATCGGGGCTGTACAATTGTAGTCAACTTGCTTCGTCCGCACTGGAGCACCTGCGGACACTAACCAATCTTCTCGCACCGCATTGGCGGGTCTGGGTGTACAAGTTCAAACAGGGAGCCCCTCGGCTCAAGCAGGATTGTCATTCTCACATGACGATGGTTTGTATGCGACGGTACAGGCAAGCCCTTATCAATTGCAAAATTCAAAGTCGGAATGCAAACACATTCGCATTTCAGCAGAAATGACATGGTTGCCAAGCACTCGGGGTTCAATGGCAACACACAACATCTGGAAGCCTTTGGCGCATTCTCTAAGCACGCCGGAGCAAGTGTGTGGTACAACACATAGCGATGAAGAACTTATGGATTAATCTTAACAGGTCTTTCTTCACTAGACCACGAGAAACTTAGAGTGTTTGCGGTTACAAAAGCATTAAAATTTGTATCCTATCATTACATTAGATAAATGCAAATGCATTTCACGGCTGAGTACTCTTAAAAAGAAACAGTGCAGTGAGAATGGAGCACGCACAACACATGAATTGTGCTTAAGCAGAGCAAAATTGAGCTTTTACTTAGTACTGGGAATATAATACGCAGTTGCACCAACCATGCGAATCTGTTTGCCAAAATTGTTCCAGTATTTGATGAATTGAAGCAAGCTTTACAGCATGTATCCTCACTACTCCACTGAATGATCCATTGTCCTGTGCAGTGCTCTGAAGCCCCAGCAGAAGACGGGAGGTCGATTTGTAGAGCGTTGCGTCCATGCCCTGTGCACGCCTTAGCATGTCGGTGCTGTGACCTTGACACTGCAATTCAAGTTCCGATACCGCAGTCTTGACCTCATCCACCGCATTTGTCTAAATAGCGGTAGAAACACACAACATCTGTCAGCATAAAGTGGACTACCCGGGCAAATGGCAGTCACCCATGTTGATTTGTGACAGAGAAGTAGAAGATCAATTCCACCCCCTATAGTAATTAGCGTGCTTGAAGTCTATGGCAATCTGATTTTGTTCCGTGTAAAATTTTTCACAAACTCAATGTCTGTGCTTGAAAAAGGACTTGAGAATATGGACGCAAATTATTTTTGGGGTAAGTACGAAAAGATGCTCCTACAGGTCATAGTCAGGTCCAAATGTGCATGTCTAACGTCCTGAACTGGCTTTGATCAAGCAACTCAACATTTTTGTTGTAAATTACATTCGAAACAAGGCTAATTATTTGCATTGCAAACATAGACAAAAGGAGCATTTTGGACTGTCATACGATAATTAATTTACATGCTAGGAAACAAGAACTCGGTATGCACTGAGATAACTATCGAAAATAAACAGGATTTAGGTCACTTGGGAACACATTGCCTGAGTAATGTGCAAGTCCTGTCCCCAGGAATGCACCAACGCCATGCATTCCTCGAAAATGTGTTTAATTGCTGCATTAGAAGGCATGGTGTGGGTAACTTTAGTAGCAGCAACAAGTGGATCTATGCCTTACCAAGTCATACCCTGGTAAACAGTCTTCGCACGGAATCCAAATCAACCGACAAGATCCTGTGGCGGATTGCGTAATTTCGAGGAGATAGCCAACGATGCTTCTAGCACTTGAAGGACTGACGTTCCAGATCACAATTATGCAACTGGTGGTGTTTCCTGCACTGGAATAGGGCTTGGACTCTGTTGCTCGAAATTCTCCGTACGTACTTGCGTCGGCATTGGGTAGCAGACAGCTGCTGTCGCCGTCGTCAACTGAGTCCATCGCTTGCGGATATGCGGTGACTGTCACATTGTGGATTTTCACTTCACTTTTTGCTTGAACAGTTGCGAAAGCAAATCATTAAATCATAAAAGAAAATCAAAATTTAGGAATTAGCTAATAAGTGCACCCAATGTCATAAATTTTGAATAAAATCTGACAGGTTAGGGCAAAAGCTAGTATGTGGGTAAGAATTAGACAGGAGTTAGGAAATATCTGTTGCCAAACATGAAGTGAATTGAAAAGCACAAGCTAAAAACAATGAACAACTTTTGCCATTTGTAAACCTTTTAAAAAAAAACAATTTTCACGACCACTTGGCAATAATTCCAACAATATTAAACAGCACCATTACAGGGACCATAGATAATTTCGGATACGGAATCTCGATAAAACATTACATTCTTGTATTAGTTAGAACTGTTGACAATGCAGGGGGCGTCATGCAACTTTTTTAGTCCTAGATAACAAGTTGGGTCTCCATGGATAATTCGATAAGGGATCACGGAACAGAATGAAAAATTCAGTTTCGCTTCAAATGAAGACGTCATGTTAATTGCAGTAAATAGATCTACTCGTTTCCAGAGCGCGGGGATCCAGCATTCCCCAAGACGACTCAAAATTCCCCTAATCACCCCACTAAAGTTGGTGGGTCCCACACGGCACACTGCTGACTGTGTTAATCCACCTTGATCAATCAGGTCAAGGTAATCCTTGACTCATGCAGGTGAGCACTTTCACTGGGCCTTCAGTTGAGACATTCAAAGCTCTTTGCACAAGGCCCTGCCTTGTCTTACATCTGTGTGGGAAGGAGGGGGCTAGCGTTTGACAAGGGATCTGGACTACCGGTTACCGGAGTGTGTGGTTGTGTTTATGGGCAAAACGTAATATATAGATCGATGAACTGTGGAGATTTTTGACATCTGGTGGGGATTGACACAGGGCAGTAATTCTTGCAGTAACTCACCGCCTTCCGTGGGAACAATCAAAGTGCTGGACCATGCGGAAGAGTAGTTGGCATTTCCGCATTTCGAAGCCACTCCATGGGGCTGAAGTCGCACTTTGAGGTTATATACCAATCCATCAGTGAGCTGTGGTATCGAAATGCCTTAAACATAAGAAACTGCAAAGATATATGCGTGTTGGTATAAAGGCAGAGCGAGTTGTAGCTACTTGCGTTACAACAATCATTAACTTGTATTATGTGCAACTCCTAAGCACCCCGTAGGAGTCTGATGGTCAGAATAAGGCTTTATGCACACATTGTTTCAAGTATCGCTGTTGAAGGTGATAAATGGGAGCTGCGCGATGTCAAAGTGGTACCGAGTCCACCATTCCACCCTCCAAATAGCACCTTCAAAAAGAAATACTTTTATATTTTCTTTACAGTAATTCAGAAACCAGTAATTTAGTCAACCCCGTTTTTCATGACATTCCTCTGAACGACTTCATCAGGTGCTTTCATTTATTCTCATTGCGTTACTAGTAAGGCTATGCAATTACTCTCCCATTACTGATATCGGTATTGAAGTGGTTACCGTCGGGGTATTCTGCGCCCTCCCAACACCTGTCCAAACGAGGCAAAACGCCCCATTGAAGCGCGTAGTTGTAAGCACAATGCCGGTATTCCGACTGGATGCGGGCGACCAACTTGTGCGACTTCTCGGTGTAATATAGGCTTGGCACTTCATTTTGAATATCTAAGGCAAAAGCAGATTTGGTAAGTTGTGAAATTGGTCTGCTATTATTCTCGTGCATTTTGCTGTCTGATGGCAGTTTACGGATGTTTTGATTTACAACTATTGACGTATTCATTTAATTTTCGAAACATCTACGATTCTGTGGCTGTAATCTAGGAGTCATATTTCCAAAATGCGAATCCTTCATAATTCCGCATAACATTTCAAGCAAGACCATTTTTTTGCCAATTCTTGGGGATGCACATCTTCTTGGTTTGCTTCGATTTAAATCCGAGCGTAATCAGCTCACCCCAAAACAACGGAAACGGCACTGCTACAAATTGAATTGTTCTGTTCCGTCCATAGGAACTGAATCTAACAGGTGTTTAGTGTTCGCATAGTTCAAGCAGCTTCGTGATCATTCAGGATGCTACCGTCAAAGCCACCGAATGCAACTAAACACCAATCTATTTTCAGAAATAGTAATTACTGCTAATCATGCTTATTTCACTCTGGTCTAGACAACAAGACCGACGCATGAATGGTCGTTGAATAGGAACACAGAATACCTGGATATCCGATCTCTGTTGACAGTACTCCGGAGTATGGGGTTATGCCAACTGAATTCTCGAATTCCAGTCTAAGCGAATATTTCCTGCAGTGCTCGAAATCTAATGTCAAGCTAGCTTCCTTTGTGTCACCATCAACTTCAACGTCCTTCCTTGACTCATTGGCGAAGACGATGAGTCTAGCTGGAGGGCCACAACTCCCACTTTTCATGGTTTGCCATTGGAAACGCACAACATTTCTGTCCCTTGTCAAATTGACGTTATTCACTGGACACGGGGCTAACAAATGAGAGGAATAATGCAGCCATAAGAGGTCGAGATGACCAAAAGGGTACAGTGTGTACACGAAGCCGCTGATTGTCAGAAATAATCATCGGCTAGGATTTACCGATGCAAGGAGTTGCCGGGAATTTTTGCTGAATAAGTAAACATTTGAACTTGAATTTAGGCTTCTAAATTAGTTTTTAATTCGAATGTTTCAACGATCCAATATGATGAATTGTCTTAATAAAATGTCATGTTTCCAAGTGATTCGAAATGCTTGATTTGAGTTAGTGTGTCAAGTCAGAAATCATATAGCAAGGAGAGTTAGACCACAAACAGCAGCAGAAGGAAATTGGTGTTATTTCAGCAAACAGGTCATTTGTCTAGATAGTGCATTTCGCACGATTTGGTTTGAAACAGTTCATTTTAAGCTAGATGCATGCTTATGTGAATAAGTTGTCTTCGCACAATGCAGGAGTTGGGCGCTACCAGTGCACTTACCTGCCTTCGTTGTTTTTTCGGACTTTGCGTAAACTGAACCGATGCGACCATCTGGTAGACTTGGAATGATCCAGATACTGTACTCAGTGTCCTGTGTTAAACCTGTTATATTCAGCATCTTCATGTCACGGTGAGATTTATTCAGACTCTTGTCGTGACAACTGCGCACAATATTTCGGAGAAAGGGAGACCTTTCTACCTGGCCAGCGTCCTAAAACCAGCGAAGTGAAACCGTGAAAAAAAATATTACACAGTTCTCGGCTAAGAAGCAATCGAGAAGGCCCACTTGAGAATGTTAGTTGGGCTGGTTAATTGTTAACCAAAAGAATGAATTTAGACTATTAACCAGCTAGACTATGCTTTTGATTGTCTTGCCGAAGCATTTACTTAAACACAGAAAAACTAGGTTAACCAGAACAATGTGTGCGGGCAGTTGGGTGACAGATAATTGTTGCTCTGTGCATTCATGCTATTTCAAAAATCACAGCTAACCGAAAAAGATTACCTACATTAATGAAAGCCTTGCAGGAGGCTTTGTTTGAGGCTGGAGCCACCAAAATCAGGTAGTCGGGGAAGGAAGCTGTAACTTCCCTTGGGTTTTCCCACTCTACACTGATCCACGTAGTTCCCTGTTTTGACTCGGCATTTGTGACGCATCCAACAGGGGCTGAATAGCGAGAAAAGATTGGGCGGTCACCTGTCATTGGCTATGGAGCCAGGTTATTTGCAACGATAGAAATTCGCTTCACATGACTACCATCCAACCACCGATCTGAGAATTAAACCAAATTTTGCATTCTTCTCTTTCCTCCTTAGATAAGTTTAGGTGTCGTGTGCCTCGTCTTGCCCAGTATTGTCATGATTTACGTCTAACTCAAAGAGGTGCATTAGACGGCTTTGGTGGATCTCGTTAAAATTCTTTTGAACACCGCTGTCAGAAATCTGTCGTTGAATTCACCTTATGCAAGCCATAGTTGGGTACTTATTGCCTAATATTTGTTCGACTAATTTGTTATTGAGTTTCAGGTTGGGTGCTCAAAGTCTTGTTCTAATGAGACCGACCATATCGAGAACAGAAATGCCTTCCTTTAAGACACGGGTTAGCAAGTCATTTCGGGAACCAAGCTTTATTTCTATTCGCCTTGCACTATTCCAAATGCGTGGGGCTGAGACCCACTTAGATTGCAACATGAACCTGATTGGTCTTCCTTAACATGCTGCACAGTGCACTAAATAAGACCTCTTTTTTCCGTGAGCACAGCACTTCTTGACGGTTATTGAGCGCCCTCTCAATGCAGTTAAGCAACACTAGGATAAAAGGTAATATTTATTGCCATAATTGTTTAGCGAAAGGATTAATGTCTAGTAGTGAGACTCTAAATTGATATACAAACTGCAGCGTTTCTGACTGGCTGCCGACCTTCAACGAATGCCCTAAGTAGTGTGTGTTTCGAGCTCTATTATAACAGGCATATTCACCATTGCGCAATGAATATTTACGTTTGACCACTTTCATTTTGATGGATTAACCTGAGAGTGACAGGTAATAGCATTACCAAGATTGGGTGCCCGAATCTACTGCAACCACTTCCAGCTGCAAATCTGTGGCATGACATTCTTAAGTTTCATTTAACCTAGAAAGTGGGTTACCCCGTCAAGACATGTTATCTACGTATGAAACTGTCTTCTGTGCAAATACCCACGCATCTGATGTTTCGAATGCAAGGCCAAATATCTATAACACCTCGTTTCCACGTGGATCACGAGCATGTCAGACTGACAAAAATACAAACCAATTGCGTTGCACACTGGAACGCTGCATGGCACGAGTGTGTCCCTCGGCAACAGACAGTGGCTCTCCCCATCGATGGCTCTGGCCGCCGGAACACACGGGCTTTGACAGGTTTCGCCGAAATCGCCTGTCTTGAAAAAGTCTTTGTCGTACGCTGGTGTGGCGGTCCCCTTAGTGTTACTCCAGTCACCAGCTGGCCACATGCACCAGCTTTGGCAATCTACAAACAGGCAGTATATTAGCACTTGCAACGAAAGAATGCATGAGCAATAACAGTCTACTAATTAAAGCACTACCACTCAAGATCGTTTATGACATTACTAAGTCAAGGTAATTCTAACGGTAAAAAAAACTAATGTTAGTAATAGAGGAGACAAACTGATCCCATCAGTGTGTCAACAAATCCAGCTGGTGCGTGCTGTTTCTATGACGTAACGGTCTTCCTTCATATGGTGGACGTGAATACTAGGCATGCACCAGACCACTGGCATGACGTGCTTACTGAGATCCCTACGAGTTTCAGGATAGAGATCGAACGCCTTTCCAAATCTTAGCCACAAAACATGTTCACTTGACGATTTGACTTGACAAACCCAAGCCTTCTACCTACCCAAATATCTGATTCTACCTGGTATTTAAGTAGCATTCAAAGCAGAAGAGAATTCATTTCACACATCGAGGATCTGAATCGTAGTATCCAGAATCGGTGCCATCTTATTGCCGAGAAATGTTTTGCGAACCACAAATACGATGTCTTTTGGTACTGGCCCTGAAAATTCGTCATGGTAGTTGCTGTCAAGTGGACGCACCATTAACAGTCAATTGCTTGTGTGCTTAACTCATCTGGGATAATTATGGATGCCAAATGTGTCCCAGCATAATGACGCTGAAATCGCTACACAATACAAATGCCTATTAACATACTTGACTTTCGTGCCTCAAACTTTGTTTTCGAAACAAGAATCTCAGTATCCCCGCCAACGTAGTAATGCACGAAGGCGACCAAGGTAGTACTGGAAGTTGGCGAGACTCGTGCATTGAGATGCGCTTGGATTGCTTGACTGTCCAGTCTTGCGTACGTTCGGTTCTCATAAAGGCTGTACGAACCGACAACTTCGCGGTAGAGAGGCGACTGACGGCACTCAGCCTCATTATCGTTTTTGCAAATGCGAACGATAAAGGCCACTTGCATGTATTTTTCATTTTTGTAGACTGTGGCACTCAAGTTCGTGAAGCGGAGAGAGACCAGGTTAGATGAGAGGGCCATGGCAGTGATCTTGAGTTGCATTTGGGCTTGAATAACAGAATCAATGGGATCTTAAAAGCAAGATTCATACGCAAGTTTGTGCACAAACGCTTCGTCATATAACGTTTAATAAGTCAAACAACGGCATTTTGCCGGTTATACGTAACGTAATGATTACCAAGATGTACCTCGCTTAATGTTAAGGCACATTAACATGTCACTTTCTAACTGAACTGCAGGAAATGTTGCTATCCGCCGTCAGTTTATGAAGAATTTGCGAATCGAGTGTTCAGGTAAACAGCATATTGGGCTAATGCTATTTCTCCTAGCCATGATCAGTGGCTTATCTACCTACACAGGAGGATAAGGACAAAGTCAAAACCATATTCTGCCATATTTTTGCATGAGAGATACCAGCTAGGTCGCATTTATTGCACTCTAGAAGGGAAATTTGAGTAAATTGTACTGGTCTCATGGAGAAGATCAGTAGTTTGGTTTCGCACGGGGCGGAAGAAATGCATGCATCTATAAAAAAATGCAATGACACAGTCCCCTTCTGGTCTAAGCGTGATGAATCGGTTCAAACAGCGAAAATCAGAAGTGGTGAACTGTCTGACTGAGGATGCACAAGAAAGGAAAAAGTCGAACGGGACTTTGGTACTTGCCGCAACAGCAAATCTACCACTTGGCACACAAACTCCAAACCATGCCTACTTACACTTTCCTTTGGGCAGTTGAAAAACCTTTTGTAAAATAACTCTGTCACGGTAATAATTCATTACTGTGAGGCGATAAACTGCACTGGACGTCAAAGGCAGCTCAGTTGAACCGTACACCGCTTGACTAGTGGCATTGCAGATCCTTTGAGCAGCCCCATTCAAAGAGGTAGGTATCTAAATTATGTAACATAAAAGTACAACTGAAACGTAGTCACAACAAAAGCATTTGCGCACAATTTGCAAGACCGGGATGGATAGGCGATTGTAGCACACAGCAGCTTGTTAAGCAATTTATTTACATCCCATTCTCTTCAGACTGATTCACTTTCTTTTGCAACAGGCGATAGATGTCCTCTGTTCATGCCAATCATTTGAATTCATTCGAATCTGATATGGCGATCCGCAATATCGAGTAGCTTTGGCATAGCCATACGTGAGGAGATGGGTTGTGCACACCATCTGAGATATTTGATTATGCAAGATGTGTTAAACGCAAAACCAGAAATTAGAAACGAATTTAGAATGCATTGCTGCGAATGCAGGAAATGCGGTAAGGACTTGCATTTTGTCGACAGGAGGCTGGGTATGCACCGACAGCAGCAACGGAGTAATGGTAGTGAAGTGCTCCGTAGAGATATACTGAAGAGTGTTTCAATTGAAGGGAGACTTCTGGGTCTGGTAAAAAACATTATTGCCTAAATTGTTAGATATAATCTTTGGTAACTACGGTGAAACTGAGTTTCATGATTATGACAAGGTCTCACACACAAGCCACCTAAACTAGTAAAAGCATTTTCGTCAAGCTCGCCTACCTTTTCAACCTACAAGTTTCAAAATGCTTCCAGTGTTAGCATTAGCATTTGTCACCACCAAATGATTTGAAGGATTGCAGTTGCGAATAAGGGTTGCGAGTAAGAAGTGAAAATTGTGCACCTAGGACAACCACTAGGACGACGAATTGTTTTAGCTGAACCGAGGTGTGCAGGCTGAATCACCTATCTCCTTGTGACACTGAAAATGACTGTTTCGACTCATGAGGACACTTTTGGGAGGAACTTTGGAACCCACTCTTATCTGTCGTTTCGATTACCAAGGTCTTCTGTACAGACGAAAGGACAGCACACATTGACGGGCATGCTGAAAGCACAAACGCGCTGTTCTGTAAGTTACACTTCTATGACGGACTGTCAAAGTATGCTGATCAAGGTAACCTTTCCAAACTGGTTTGCTCCAAGTTGATCGGCATCATGCTTTGCATTTGTCTCCGTTCTCAAGATCTCTGTAGGCATACTTACACACCTGCACCAGCGCCCACTGACATTTACTGATCTCGGACTCATGAATTGTGGTTGGCAAATGGACTTGCAAATGAGATGACTACCACTGCACGTAAGGCCTTATAGCTGTCCACACCACAGTATTTCCATTCTTTAATCAAATTCTACACTTCTTTTAATTTGGAGTAAATGGCTGAAATGAGGCGATTAAATGTAGTCGAACGAATTGTCAACCTGAGTCCTGGTCTGATGCATTTTCAACAAAAAAGTTGTCGATAAATTAATTAATACTTGGAATTTTCTGTTAACTCATTTTACCCCATTATATCGACAGGTATGTGAAGAAGGTTATAAGCGATCAATTGCGCCAAAGCCGGGATAGCATTCAGATCCAAAAGCACTCGTTTTCTGACGTGAAGTACAACAATCCTTTGGTGTATAATTGCTAAACTTAGCTCCAGCAACATCAGGCCATTTGTAAGAAATTAGCCTTATAATCTCATGCCAAGCCGTGAATAAGATAATAGATTTTGCGTATCTCGTCTGGAGGGTCTCAAACCTTGTAATCTGCATTAGGAAACGAGAGCATAATAAAAACAAAAGTGTCGTTCAGTCTCATCTGACTTTTTAACGAGCACACCAACACTGGATTTCAACCTAATGTGAAAAGAAAATCAGGCGTACATACCTGACGCTGCTGTAGCAGCCTGCACGGATGTACTTTGAACTTGTGTATTTAGTGGAGGATTAAATACGGGTGTAACTTCGAAGACGTATTGCGTGTTTGCTCGGAGGTTGCTAACGGTAACGGCGAATATTCCGACTGGGCCTTGTTCGTCCACTGAAGCAGTGTTCCAGCCGGATGCCCATGTCTCCTTGCGTGAACCTGGAAAGTCTGGCCAATACCCATCCAGTTTGCCTTCTTCAATTGAAGGGATCCAGTAGGAGCAGGCATGAAGGGATCTCAGATGACCAGCCGTGTTCTTCACAAGGTCGTTCTCAGTTTTTGTACTCTTAATGCACAAAAATTAATTGGCATACTTGAGCTGAGGAGAAAGAAGACCAAAGTGGCAATGCAGACTGGCTCTTCTTGAAGAACAGTAAAGAGCGCCAAGAAGAGGTATTTTATCGCATTGCAATCCAACCAAACTCTACTTCACTGTGGCGTAACATTTGGTAACTCATTGTGTGCAAGGGAAATGCCGTGTTACGCCTTACCCAGGGCGCTGTTAGGGTGATTTCTTTTTCCCAGCAATTTCGGCTGCTTTTGGCAGTGACAATGTAGCCGATGGGCGGAGTTGCAGGTCCCCTGATATCGGGCGGTGGCCAACTTAGCTGAACCCAATTAGCAGCTCGCCATTCCACGTTAAGTTGCAGCTTGTAGAGAGGCGCCTGTTGAGCCACCTCAGGTGTTGTCCACGCCTCGCAGTTCCACTCATTCAGGCAATCGTCTGGTGCCACGCACACGTGGTATGTTGTTCCAGCTCGCAGATTGTCTAAACAGAAGCTGCTTTGGTAAGCAGGCACAGTTTCCTGCATTCGATGTGTCCTGAAATGAGATGTTGTTGAGATTAGCTGTTCTCCAAGCAAAGGAATCTATTTACACTCTGCTGAATGTGGTAGAAGTAGAAGGTGATAGTTGAAAGGCAACCCTGCATCACGCGTAATACCTTGTTAATAAATCGACACTGATGAAACGAAAATATTTGTGAATGTCTAGCAATGCTTGCTAATTTGCAAAAAAAACAGTGGAATTAACTAAAGCCTATTTACGGGCCCTTGTTCAATGTACTACCGGCGGTAGAATGAAAGAAGTGGAGTGCATTCACAACGAATGACAACTGCCGATCTTTAAATTACATCACAAAGTGAAGTTCCCGTATGGTTTATTTTCAATTCAACATCGCGAAAGCTCAACACGCTGTTTTACAGTTAGCGAAAGATTGTTACCTGTTAAAAGAAACGAATATTAGTGAACTCTTGTCTCCGTTAGTCCTGTAAATCCTACTGCGTGACGGCGAATCTGAGCGCACACGCAAGTCAACAGACTGGCTTCCATTTGTTGCAATCTTCCTTGGATCGACATTGACCTGCATGGTCGCATTTCCTTTGTATGATTCTTTGCCAGCGACCAAAGTGATCGGTGCTGAAGGGATCTTTGTTAGTTTGAGCTCTTCATTCTCAATTGTACCGACCGCTCCCGAAAACTGAAGGCAGAGACCCAAAGACAACCAACATGGATTAACTACCAGCACAAGCATGTTAGGTGGACACTGGCAATCCGGATCCAACCATTTCATACTTACTCAGTAAGGTAAATTGACCAAGAATGTGGCAAACATGGGATGACTACAAGCCATAGCTCATACTGACAAGTATCTATCTTGAACTGACTCGTGGACCGGCAGTCCAGTTTTAGGATATATGGTTTTTAGTCTGTATGAATTAGGGACCATGAAACATGTTGGATATCCAACTTATTCGATGCAGAATTTGCACCAAAGTAAGCACAGTCTGCTGGTTGCATTGGCAACTACTTCCGTGTCTTTTAGAAAAGACAGCTTGACCCAATGAACAGAACACGCATGTGCCTTGGTAATATCGCTTTCTTGGAACAATAATCAAAGTTCATGTCCACTTATCAATAGGAAATCGCCTTCATTGTAGTGTACGCACCTAGACTGCGCCAGAAGAGTGATAAAATTCGGAAATAAAACACGATTGAGGCAAGTCACAACGTCCGTTTAACACACCTACCTGGACTAGCTTGTGGTTGCTTAGACGTCCCTCCCTCCACTTGAAGAATGTCCCTCTTCTACCAATACTGGATTCTCTTTTATCAAATGTCAATTTGATACTTGCGGCGATTGGTTTGTCGTTTGAAATCCAATTCCCATAGCAGTTATCAGCTACCACCGGTTCGATGAGTTTCAATCCCGTTGTGATAATGACGGTAATCGTGACACTAAAAACAGTAGACACTCTTCCTTTACAAAATTGTCCCTAATGGAATGCTGGTATACAGTTTAAAGTGCATGTTTCGGCTTGGACACGCTTACCAAACTAGACCAAAATTCAGCCATTTAAGCCAAAATTAATCAAAAAACAGCCCACGGGTTATCCTTTTAAAAGCTAGATTGAGTTAGAATAGACGGTTATTAGTGGTGTGTAGCAAGATGATGCAATGCATGCACTGATGCGGTTAAAAACGCAAAAAGCAATGAACACGGGGTTGGTCGGAGAGTAATCACTGCCGTTCTGGCATGCAAACGAAGGTTTTTTAAAGTGTGCACAATCTAGTTTGTCTAGGTGTAGAGGCAAAATGAAAGATCAACTCACAGGCAGAACCGCATGTTTGGTGGACCGTAAAGAGACCGCTTGAAGTGCTGCGGTTGAAGGAGTGAACTGTGGCCCTTTTCGGTTGCATACGTGCGTGCGTGTCTGTGTGCGGTCATATTTACACGAGAGAGAGAGAGAGAGAACGGACACGATCAGAATGATTCAAACGCGCCTCTCGTGAACACTCAGCCATTGTCTGCGATTCGATAGGGTGCGTAGTCGTGTTCATTAGTAGGTTAATGTGGGCGTACGAGTGTTTATATTCAACCCGATGATTCGTTTATTTTACATGTGTGTTTAGAGAGACTGCCACGGTCTGGCACATATCTCAGTGATTTCGAGCTGGCTGGCAGACAGCGTAATGCTGGCTGATCTCCAATTGATCAGGTGTGGAGTTTCGTCAAAAGGCAACAGGCAGATGTGTCCGGTAAACCTGAAGGTCAAAATTTTCCACCACATGTAGACTCGTCCTTTCGGTTTACTAATGACTTATTGAATGCTAACGTAGGTAATTTTAATCAAAAATATCAAGTGTTTGACCCAAGTTCTACAGACACTGGAGCGAAGTCGTTAAATGTAAGAAAAAGCAGAGAAAAGGAAGCTTTGTCTTGGGATTATTGTCCATCGTTTTCCGTGAACTTGGCGTCTCGACAGAGACTTGCACGTCTCGAGGCAGTCAATTCACCGGCAAATTTGCGTACATCGTGTAGCATTTTCGAACAGTTTACCCACCGAGGCGTGCTGCTTCATTGACCTCAACAAATGGTAGCCGGATAGGACCAGATCTGGCGAGGATGCCTCGTGTGGGGAACTCATCACGCCAAGTTCAGGAGGATGTTCTGAGTCGCACGAGTCTTGTCATGCAGGCTTTACTGGTCTAGTTTTCTGCTAAGTTTGTTCTATTGTCGGCTGTAGCACTCCGCAGCCACTGTCTGACTAGATTCCAGGAGTCAGTAATAATGCACTACCCTCATGTCCGATCAGATACACAGGAGAACTCTCTTCATGTTGATGTCGTCTTCCTGCCTAGGTGTTTCGCGTTTCCAGATACTTCTTCTTGACATTTTGCGTTTGGTATTTTAGTAAAATGTCTAGGTTTAAAGGAGCCCTTTTTGTTGCAGGTAGGCAAGCAGTGAGAGGCAACTGTTTGTAGTGACTAGAGGATTTAGCACTACCTTACAACCCTCTAGTTAACAGCCCGTAGCTACCTGAGGATAGGAAAAAGGAGGCGACAGAGAACACGACCGTTTATTAGAGTCGAACCAGCCAAGTGGGTTTGTGTGCGTATGAGCACGCGTGCGTAACAGGCGAATGCTGACAAAAATCAATAACAAAAGGGGATGAGTCATCGTTACACGCGGGCCTTCATGCACGCACATTCGCGCGGGGCGGCTGTCAGTCCACTACATGTTCACTTGTTGACCTAGGTTGAATTCCGTCTATACATGTGGGGTAACCCAACTTCCAAGGTTGTTCGTCTGACTTCCAACTGAACTGCAAGCTCCTGTTGCGTTTGCGTTGATTCGCATCCCAAAACTTACTAGACTGTTCGGGATGCGGCTGGTCAATAAGTTGAAATCACTACTTCTAAAACGTCTGTACCAGCACTTGCAGATTTCATAAGACACAACGTTAGCAACAAGAACACTACAGGTTGTATCGTGTGCTATGAAAGCCTTTTTCCGTGGTAGAATTCGTATGAAACGCAGTGCCGCATGTGCTGTTTGTCAATTGCCGTTAAACATTCTGCTGTTCTGACAGGCTATGTAAACCACGTAGACTTGTTTTTCAATGCTCTGAAACCTTTTAAAACCACACAAGACAGCCGAAATGTTTCTTTTTATAAAATAACTTTAGGCTCGATGAAAAATTCTGTGCCAACTAAGTCAGACATTTAATATGAATATGTAGTTAGAGTTTGTGACTAAGCGGTTTAATTCAAATGATCCTATCGATGGCACCGATTGCTCAGATCCCATGTATAGGCATAGGCAAATCCTCCAACTAAACCAAACCATTTGATCAAACAAATCAAACCATTCGACAGTTCTTGGGGCAATTTAACCTGGAACTACTTACCAAAGACAGTGCGTACTTCAATGTGCCTGGAATGTATTAAACTTTCAAGTCAGTGTGGATAGACACGTCAAGAGATGCGAATTAGAGCTGTTTTTAAAGAAAGTGGGTGCTATGCGCTATAATATGCATCCCTCATCTCTATAATAAAACAGACGCGACCAAATTTGTCAATGTATGATGGCTTAAATGCTGGTCGGGATTTGCGATGCCTCTAGCCGAATGTGGTACACAAAATCCCCTTAGCACCGATTGGTAAAACCGCCAATTAAAAATGACTTAGACTGTTGATTAAACACATGACTTGTGTTCACTTGGTAATAATTAATTTTTAATCTGCTGTGCACAAACATGTAGCCCTATCGCCGGACAATCTCCTATGCTCAACCACTTCCCCTACACCTTATTGAACGTTTTCCAACATACCGTGAACTTCGGTTAATTGTAGAAGAATAATAACTTCTGGGCGAACGAGGGTAACTTTGGACGAATCGCATGCCGACACTTTTACAATGCGGTCATGGTAAAAGTGCAGAATGAATTTTCATTATTGAGTGTTGGTTTACACGATAAATTCCCTCAATCTTCCATGCAACCCCAGAGTTATGTACCCCTAAGTCTATTATGGTTCAAATCAGTATGTTCAAATCCAGGCACGATTTCAGGTTGTCGTCGGCATTGGTGACAGTTGAAGCGTCCAAAGAGCATTCCAAACTGCAAGGTAAATGGTATTCTTGTGAAGCGAGGTCAGGCTTGTCTGTTTCAACGGTGTGACGTCAATTTGCAACCAGGTTTCATTAAGTGCCCACACGTTGACAAACATCTAGTTGTGTTGGAATACGCCTTCTCTTTGTAGTCAATGTTTGTTAATCGATATTCATTGATTGCATGCTAATCTTGTTTCTATGACCTTCTAAAAGTAAGCACCTCAGTTGATGGTTTGGATAGCGAAAGCGGATGAACAAAATTTACAACACCTTCCCAGCCCATTGGTTTTTAAATAAAGCGCTATTTAGATGTTCTTTGCCTGCTCACTAGGCTTGGACCAAGGCCGCTTTCACAATCACCGGTGACTACTTGGATTACAAAGCGGACAGTTGCATTTTGATGAAGCAAATGTTGTGCTAATGCTTTCCACTTCCTGGGATTTTAAAGTCTCCTCAGTCCCAACCATCCCACTCCATTTAAGAGAGTTCAAGTGCTGTGTCTTTGTGCAAATTGACACCTACCAACTATCATTAAAGTCGACAGCAGCAGTCCAACTACAATAAGAAACCCAAAATGGCTTTTCTGCACTCTTAACCTGGAGGTAAGAAGAAGTCATTGCCGTGAAGGTGGTGTCAGCTATTTCAATATACGTACATTCCACGAAGGCATAGGCCACAATCACTCAACCTCCACCCAATGTTTGGTCCCGACCGAAGCCAAATAGGCGAAAAGTTTTGGTGCAAACATTCTTGACGATTGGCACTCACGCAAAACCAAGCTTGAGCAAAGGGAGAAGTGGCATAGTGACTGAGTATTAGTTGCTCTAATATATGTCGACAAATGTATCACATGGCATTGTAATCAGCTTCGCTGTTAGATTGCGTTTAAGTCTCTTTCACATTGTTAACTTGACAAATGATGCCCGATGGGTTCGCATGCAGCTAAGTTGGCGTGGTTACAAATCTACAACACAAATCGAGCTACATAAAACGTTCTAGGGATAGCCAATTGTCAATCCGCAATAGACGCCTTTGCAGAATTTGCATTTTAAACACAATGCCAGAAATTCCTCTAGTAATGCAATTTTCACAGTCCCAAAAGTAAGTGCGTTCTCATTTACATTAATCTATTCTAGATTATTTAGCTGTTTTGGTGGGGTCAACAGACTGGTTCGTGTCTGCAAACGTGTGAAAGTTTATCACGTCGGGGTAAGTTTGTGTATGTCTGTTGCTTAGTGTGAACGAAAAACATAATTGTCGGGTTTACTTCGGACCAATAATCTTGGTAGATGCAAGTTGACAATTTGAGGTCGGAATTGGCAGGCATTATGATTGCGCATGTTCTCGCTTCACTCAAATGTATTAGCCGTGACATTTGAGTAGCCACTTCGTTTTCTCCACACTGACAACTGCCACCGGCAGTAATCCAGCCTAATCCACCCGGTCAAGGTCACCCAAGGCGCACACACGCTGTCCACTTTCATATGTAACTCGTCTCCATGCTGAACTGGGAGAGTGGCGCTTGCATTAGACAAGGGCTTGGCCCGTTGGATCTCCAAGCGTGTTTTTGCTTACTGTTAAATGGCGACAGTATATGCTACACCTAATTATTGAGGCTCCTTCAGTAGATAGTGCGGCCGCATCAACAGTTGCATGCATATGTGTTTTCTTCCGTAATCTTGTTCAGCAGCATCCGTGTGTTGCAGCCCATGAGGCCTACAGCTACGACATTTCGTACTTAAATACGAGTGCGAAGGTCGAAGAAATTGATTTCAGCCGTAATAAACAGCAGCATACGAAGCTGCTCAGCTTACTTCTGTTGTTGGTCCCAGCATGTGGTCCTTCATCACGCCGGGCTCACTGAGTTAACCCTGGCCCGATTACGCTTCCCTGCTACTCGCGATGATGAAGAAGACGACCGGAGAGGACGTGGAAACAGCCGTTTATTTAAGAGTTCACCCACGCTGGTGTCGTTGTGTCGTGTGTGGCGTTTGCGCGTGCGTATGTATGCCTCAGATGTGGTGAGTCATAAATGCGCTAAGGTGTGATGATAATCCAAGGTAATCTTTTGCGGTAATGAGGGGGAGTTAAGGATCCATGCGGCTGGTGACATACTACGAAAAGTGGGAACGTGTGTCTGAGACAGGGGTGATCGGATTAAGGAATGTGAATCAACCCAATTCACAACACTTCTATGCGTTCAGTTCAAATACGAATACCCGGATTCTAGGAACTAGGATTTACATCATCTGCATTCTTGATTTATCCATTCGTGAATGGTAATCAAGAATCTGTTGATATCATTTACCACACGGAAAAACCCGGGCCGGATG